AGCTAACTTATTATAAGTTAGCAAAAATGACTAAACGACCTCGAGGGCGAGGGACGCATGCATGCTCGGTTGATTCGCCCGAAAATGCCATTGCCTTGCCATTGGATGCCTCTGTTTGCACTCGTTTTGATCACTGAAAATTGCACCAACTCCCAGAATGCCTTCGCTCCAACTCAGGAGCACATTTGTGCAAAAATTGACTAGTGGCCAGTCTGCCACCATATCCTTGAACTTCTCCTTTTGCTGTAACAGAGAACAAACAGAGGCAAAACAATGTATTTTCAAGGAATGTGTGTACTGTTGCCCTCCTTATCAGTGCACAAACTCAAATGAGGGTAACTCTTGGCCTTCGAACCATCAACCAAGCATTTTCAATGCACGATGGCTAGAGAACCAAGCTTGTACAAGCGTAATGAATGTACAAATAAGACTCGAAGGACCACCCCCTATCATGCATGATTAAGGGTGACAGTGACTAAGAAAAGTGACACGTTTCATCACTTTGAGTATGAAATGTTCCATTTTTCTTGTGTTCGGATTAGCGTCCAATTTGAACATGTGCAATGCAATACAAAGATGCTTAATCTTGCCTCTTTTACTTTGTTCATTTTGTTTACTCATTTTACATTATCGATTAGTCCTTTAATCGATTAAGTCCAAGGTGAGAGTCTTCTAAAGAGAAAGAAGTGTCAATCAAGGGATGATTTAAGGCAAGAGAGAAGTCATGCCTTTGGTTAGTAGAAACCCCCAAAAGGGGATTAAAACCATGAAACATAAACTCTATCTCAAGCTTAAAGGATCCCAAACTTGAAACAACTCTCAAAAGCGATTGAAAGTAAGACAAATGAGAATGTGGCAGAGATTATGATGCTGAGATTACATGCAAAATAATACTACAACATGCAAGCAACCCAAGCATTTCATTCTTAAAGCAAACAATGAGCTAGTGAAGACCATTACACTATGGGCATGCAATACAAAGCTCAAAAGTTACAAACACTTCAAAACAGTCATAAGACAACCTAAAATGAGTCCTAAAACATGCTTGAATTAAGCTAAAGATAGCTAGAATAAGAGGCCAAAACATAGCACAAATTATACTAACAAGAACAATTGCACTACAAGCACACAAAGCAAGCCTCAAGTGCTCCAACCAACTCAAAACAGAGCTGAAACATGCCAAAATAGAGCCTAAAACATGCTTGAATTAAGCTAAGTTAAGCTAGAAAATCAAGCTAACATGTGAAGCAACCTAGGCATGGAAACAAGACACAAGGAGGGGAGGCTAACCCCTCATATTTTGGAATTCAAAAGTTGATTTTTACCACTGAAATAACTCTGAATCTCAGTGGTTTAAAGGCCCAAAAATTTTGATTTTAATATGCTAAAAAATTACACAAAAGTTCACACAAATAAGCAACAAGAATGGTGGACTACCCCTTAACACAAAATGACCTCAAACCATCATGTTAAGGCCCAAAAATCAGAGTTTTTTGTAGTTGAAAACTAGGCCAAAAACAATATAAAAGGATGGAAAAGCAAGTAATTAAAACAAAACCTACAAGGTAAATCCTATACCTCTTGAAGCACAGCACAAAACAGCTACACCTTTAGGCTCAAACCTCCTTCCAAAAGCTCAAATTAGGCTCCAAGGGGACCTCAGCTCCAAGGTGGTCAAATTTGGTTAAGGGTTAGTGTGCAAAGGTGTAGAGAAAATCAACTATCAAGCACAAAGCAAGAAGAGAGAGAGAGAATTCTAGAGAGAGAAAGAGAATTTTGATCCAAAAAAATCTAACCCCTCCAAATGGGGGAGAGCATTCCCTATATATAGAAAATCAAGCTTAAAGCTTGTATTCATCCCTCCATACACGTGTATGGAGATAGACTTCAGTGAGCAACAGTTGGCAAACAAATATCTGAAAAATGGACAAATGGCCGTCGGCCACTTAAGGTGGTCGTCGGCCACTTCAAGTGGTCGACAAGAACAAAAAGTGGCCGACAAGGCCAAAAAGTAACCGACAAGGCCTTTCCCTCTTCCAGGCAAGAGGCAACATGGTTTGGCCCAAAAACAAGCACAAAACAAAAGGGGTTGAGAGGCTCAAAGACAAGGTGTTCCACCGAGAACTTCAGGTGCTCAAAACAAGCACAATCATCGAGTGCACAAACGATGACGTCCAAGACTTGAGGTTGGTCAAAAATAGGGTGTCTACACCCTCCATTTTTAGGACTTCAAAACCACATTTTTAGCCTCTGAAAACCTCTGAAAAACAGTGGTGAAAAGTTGAGAAAAAGTTTTTTTTTTAAAAAAAGTGGGAAACACAAGGGCAAAAGCTTGGGAAATAAGGTTCAAAGAATAGTGGGTTACTCCTCTACCTTTGATAATTTTAAGCCATAAGTTTCAGCCCATAAAAATAGTATAAAAACAGCAAAAAAAGAGAAGGAAGAAGTAGTGTAAAGATAGTCAAAGTTATACTTCTTGAAGAGGAGTAACTCTTTTGTTCATAAACCATAAGGTATTCACTCTCAAGGGTTGAGATTTGAGCTCAAGAACCTCAGCAAGAAGAGCCAAATTTTTGGTTTAGGAAGTGTAGGGAGAGAGTGTGTAGGTTGCAAGATAGAGAGGGAGAGTGTTTTACAAGTTTTGATCCTTTAGGAATTTTTTCTAACTTAATTTCAAGAGAGGTGGTCATCTATATATAGAAAAACATGTGCCTCTGTCAGAAATATTTGTATAGAGACAGTTGGTGCAATGCATGCACCTGTGGAAACAGCTGGCAACAAATATCTGCTCTATCGGGAAACATGGCCAGCCGACCACTTGGGGGACGATCAACCACCAAAATTGACTTATGGGGACACCTGGATGGCCAATCCACTCAAAATGGTCTATTTTTCATTAGCTGGCCGGCTGGCCACCTTTAGTGGTCGTCCTGCTACTTAGTGGCCGATCGGCCACAAAAAACTACTCTCAAGCCCGATTTCAAATGAGTATATCTCCTTCATCCAGACTCGATTTTAGGTGATTCTTGAGTCTAAATTGAAATCTCAGGAGTCTACTTTCCAATGGTGGTGGCCTCACATCTAAATTCTAAGTGTACAAAGAGATATGCCTAATTTAGTGACGACTGCTCATTTCTCTCTTAACGGTTTGATACTCAACTTTTTCCCCAACTAGTTTTCTTCCCTTCCCTCATATTTCCTCCAACTCCAAACCTATAAATAAGGTATTTTTAAATATTTTTCAAATAGTTTACCTCTCTTCCATTTATTTCCACTTTTTCCTTACTCGGTTTACCGAAAAGTGTAATATTTTTAAATGAAATGCGAGCCTTGAAATATCGTAGAAACATTTAGAAAAATATTTTGAAAAAGCGGGTTTTAAGGTCTAAAATAGTTTGGCCAAAATGGGGTGTAAGGTTGGGATTAGAGCTCAAAACTGAAGCTTCTTGCTGAAGAAATCGAACGTTTGTACAACGTATCTTTTCATCATCAAGTGGTCAATCTGAGGCGCCCAAGTCTTAGGGGCGGTCAAAATGGGGTGTCTACACTCCTATAATGAAGGGAGGATGCCTAACACGTGTCCCACTCAACCTCCAAGGGCTAAGATTCAAACTCACCAAAACGACGTCATTTTGGTGAGTAAATTGAAAAAAAAAAAATCAAATATCTTTTGTTCTTGTTTCTTTTCAACTGGGGAGAGTTAGAGAGAGAGAGAGACAAGGGCTGAGAGAAGGAGACAATTGCCACCACAGAATCTCCATCTCTGTCACCACCAGTCTCCATACCAAAAATATCATCATCCACAACTTCTTCGATAACAACAACATTACCACAATCACCATTCAAATTCGAATCGCTCTCACCATTTGGAAGACACTTGAGCTGCAAGGTCTCATCAAATCTGCCGACACGATGAGCAATGGGGTGACAGATCTACCATCAACCAGATTTGGTCTTTCCGCGTTCAGCGACGACGATGGCTACGGCGACAGATGGTTTCTTTGCTTTCGTCGTTGACGACAGATTTGTGGAATTTGACTCAAATCTGGGACCAACGAAAGAGAAGAGTAAAGAAATAGATAGGCAATGTCAACGGATCTGTAAGTTTCGACCACCGCACACACCGGAATCATGATATCCGTCGCCAAAATTGGGAGCAATGTCGACGCCATGGTTGATAGACTCATTGGAACCCTAATTTCTTTGAATTTTTTTTTTTTTTTCAATTTACTCTAAAGTTTATTCTGCATAGGCCTCTTAGGCTGTTGTTATACCCAAATGGATTTTGATTGAGTGTTGCATATTTATGAGTATGATGTAGATGTTTCCCTGTATGAGTACTTGCTTTGAGCTTCATTGTAATGTTTGACTAGGCACCCTGGTTCTCTCTCTCCGGCAGAAGAACGAGAAGGGAAGGAGTGGGGTCGCCGGAGGGAAGAAGAGTGCGCCGAAGATGGATAATAATTTCAGTGGCTGTGTGTCCTCTCTTTCTTCGTTTCTCTTTTCGTGTTTTTCCTTTTATTTATTTTTTTTAATTTTCCCACCAAAACGATATCGTTTTGATGAGAGAATGATCTCAACCCTTGATTTCATTAGTGGGACAGGTATCGTACCCTCATGAATACACTGTAGAAGATCACTCTACCATTTCACTCTAGAGGATCTTGACACTTCATCTCATGATTTTATTGTATATTATGAGTTCATTTGAAAAATAATTATTTTAATTGATTTTTTATTAAAAAAACATATAAAAATAATTGAAGTTGACTTTTTGGATAATAAAAAATCCACATTATCATCAAATCACTTTATCATTGTGAGTGGACTTTTAAAATAAATTATGTTTTTAGAATTTTTAATTCTTTTTTAAAAAATTAAAAATTAAAATAATAAAAATAAACAACAATTTAAAAAAAAATCCAATTCAAAAAAGAGATAAATTTTCTGAAAATAATAAAGTATTTTTTATTTTCATTTTTTTAACCAAATTAAATTTTATTTAATTTTTTTTAAAAAAAGCAAATTGTGAAAACTGGAAAATGAGGAATTGTGAAAGAACAGAAACAGAGAGAGAGAGAGAGAGAGAGAGAGAGAGGGCTCTGATTACTTTCACCCGAAGATCAAAACCCAAACATGTCCTTTCACAGGTCTCTGTCTGTTCAGGTTGTTTGGTTGCTAAGAAATTGAGGAAAAAGTCATTAGAATGTTTTTAATCCTTGTGTGTGATTTTGATTTGGTTTCGGAAGAATTGAACCTTCAAAAAAAGGCTTCTAATTTTTTTATTTTCTTGTTAATTTTCCTGCTCTTTCTGGGCAACCAAACGCCAAAAACGGAGTATTTGAAATCAATTGTTGATTTGTAGGTTATTATTGAACTATCTTCCTCCTCGATTGGACGTTTGGAGTTCGAGATCGGTGCTCTGACGATTCGCTTTCGTAATTAAATGCAACTCTGTGAATCAGTTTCCTCTTGGATCTGCGACATCTTCCCATGCATGGGGTAAGTCCTTCCCTTCTCTCTCTCTCTCTCTCTCTCTACGTATTCGTATGTCTTGATTTTCTGTTTGGCTGCTGGGAAAATGGCAGAAGAGGGAACAACTTGAAACATTGAAACTGTGCAAATTTTCTATTTTTTTATTGTTGATTTTGAATGAAGTTTCGTTGGTATTATTAAAAAGAATTATTATTAATATTTTTTTTTTTTAGTTTGGAATCTTGTGTTTTCTTGTAGCTTAAGTGAGGTAAGTGTGAATGAACAGAAATGTTTTTTTGTCTACCTTTTTTTATATTTCCTATTTGCTTGAAGGTCCTAAACACTTGGTTTATCATATTTTTCTGTACCTAATTGGTTTTCTTCAGCATCAAATACTACAATCCGAGCTATGTACAATAGGTGTTGTTTGCCAATTCACATTGATTCACGTCTTGGCAAAAGGCCTTTTTGTTCATTTCTTTGGTTGTGTGGAGCTTATTGCTGTGCTCTTATTCTTTTGATGATGGAGAAATTGAAGGATAAATGCAGGACTCTTTTTGGTGTAAGAGATTAATATCTGTTTCTTCTTTTTCTTTCTTTGTTTTTTTTCCTTTCTACATTTTGTTATTTGGGTATCAGAAAATTTAAACAGATCTCTGTTTGCTTGGATGTAAAATACAAGTTTTTCATGATTATTGGGGAAATTTTTTGTAGAGTATTTTCCCCATAACTAACTGAGGAGGTATAACAGTTAGCACTGTAGGCTTGGTTGAATTTCTGATGAGATGGTGTAAATTTGATGGAATTTTGTTTATTTCGTTGTTATTTTGCATAATAATGTACCAATTTGTCCTTGAGAATGTTCAAGGAATTTTGGCATATTTAAGAAACGTATAGTTAGAAAATAAGGCATCCATTTAGCCTATGATAAATTAGAAGTTAGGTAAGACATTGTTATAGATGTTGAAAAGTTAACTTAAATGGGTATTAAATTTTGAATGATCAACTTAAATGGTGATCAATTTTGGGAGATCAGATTAAATGTATGAATTGGATAAGATATTGAGTGAAATTGGTTGTTGGTGTTAAGAAAAGATAGGTGTCATGATTGATGAGTTCTCTACTTGATGGATAATTCATCCAGTTGCTCATGTAATGTAGAATAGGCTTATCATATTTATCCTGTTATGATTTGATATTCATAGCTCGGTGTATGTCTCTATTTATTCATGTAGCAATATCTTCAGAATTATTGTTAACCACCTACTGGTTTATTTTTGTTTTCGTTCATGTTATCAAGTCATGTTTCAGCCTGCTAACCCCTTCTCTTTGTATTCATTCCGTTTATCATATTGACTTCTTCATTCTCTTCTTTTGTTCCACCCACCAACTATGAAACACAAATACTTCTAGAAGGGAGTTGTATATGTATTGTACCCGTATTAGGTAGTCGAAGATACGTATCTAATGCTTTTTAAATGTATCCAATACTTGATGTTAATTTTGAAAAGTATCGGATACATTTTGGACACGCTAGGTCACGTATCCAAATGATTATGAATTTGAGATTGTAATAATTTTTGCGTAGTATTAGAATTTAATTGTTTGAATAAATATGAAAATATTATAGTTTTCCAATATTTTCATGTTTCTTACAGAAGAAGAAAACAATGAGATTAAGATAATACCCAATGAGATTAAGATAATACCCAACTTTCTTAGATTTTATCAAATTAACATATTCCCTAGAAAAAAAAAAAAGCAAACCGACTATTGGCTCTTAAACTGTAATCTACTAAATGGTGTCTCACTATTCTTCAAGCTCATGTATAATATAATACTAAAAATTACAAGTTTTTTTTTCAACATATTTTAGCCATTTTCGTATCCTATTTTTTTTTTTTTTTATAGATTTTGCAATTTTGCCGTATTCATATTGTATCGTATCCGGGACCATATACATGCTTCATAGGCCACCAGCCTCCAAAACAGTTGATGCCAAGCTTCATAAAGCCAACTAGATGCTTTGGTGTAGTCAAACAATTTTAGTGCTTGGTAGCCAAGGCCATATTTCCAATGGTGATCTTGTCCTTAACATGTTGGCTAGGTTTGGCATGAAGTATGAATCATTTGTAACTTTGGGTACAACTTCTTCCCTCGATGAGCTTTAGGCAATGCTTTTGAATCAAGAAATATGTCTTGAATGTTCTTTTGAATTTCAACAAGATGTTGACAACTGCTTTTATCACTTAGTCCACTCAACTGTGTGATTGTCCTGCCTAGCAGGGTGAGTGTTGTTGTGGAAACCGTCATTGTAATCGTGGTCATTAACTAATTTGTGGCCGCCAACTCTTCTCATGTTGGCATCTTGGTTTTCACACACTACTTTTAATACAAGTCCATTGCTTCTCTTGTCTTGCAAATTTGCAAAAAAAGGGCCACTTTGCCTTAAAATGTTATCAACACTACACTGAAGCATACTTTGACACTAATTGAAAGACACTAATTCTTTGCTTCCATGAATTTGAGTTTTCCTCGCTTGGACACTAATTGGTATCTAGATTCTGGCACTACTCACTTATGTTACGTGGAATTAGGTACAAATATCGGGTGCAGGTGTTTGTCCTACCATTAGACCTTTTTAAACCCTAAATGTTAGATTCAACATTTTGGGATTTGTATCCAAAAGTTAAGTATGGTATGTAGGTTTAAATATATTGCATATTGTCTGGTACTTTGACGTAAGCTGTTGTAAATTATTAGGAACATAAATTAAATAGGATAAAGGGGATTTTTATCTATAATCTATGTCAAAAAGTTTTATTTACTATCAATTGTGAGCTTCTTCTTCAAACATATTAAAAATTGGAGGATTCAAGCGTCCAGTCTTGACTATTTCAAAAAAAAAGGAGTAAACGATACATGGGGGCCATGTGCAAAATATATGGTTTTGTAGATTTATTATATATCATATATATTCATATTTCATTCAAAGTTAATAAAAATATACGGCATGATGTGAGTTTCTAAAGTTTTAAGGGATGATAGATTAATAATGGGTGTAAATTTACATATATATATATATATATCACATTTGATCCTAAGTTATTTTGTTTTTAAACTCGTAATTTGTTTTATGTGTGTCCAATCGATGGACAAGTGTTTCCCAAATGTTCGAAGCGTGTTCAAATCTAAAAGAATTCAAAAAACAATAGGGCATGTTTTGACGTGTTCAACACGTGTCCGATTAGTGTTGGTGTCTGACACATGTCGAACACAGACACACCATTTTCTTAGAAATGTTTGTGTCTTAGGGTATGTGTGTTTGATAGATATCCCATACCAGTGGACATAGGAATTGGAGGCAAAAATAGTCTATGTATCACTTTTACTCACCATATCACCTTTTTAGTTTCAGTATATCACCATATCACCCTTTTTATCAAAAAATAATTGGAGGAGTACTTTTGCTTGCTTGTAAAGTTTAAATATATATATATATATATTTTTAATATCTTCTTTGTGCTGTTGGGGGTTTGGGAGAATGATTGAGCACTTTATTTTTGGATTCCTTCTCCTCTAAGTTGTAGACATGTAAATTCTCACACCTGTAAATATAAAACAATTGCATTCATATTTCTCTCTGCATATATAAGCATGCTTTATCTGTCATTCTTGTTATCACTGTAAGTTAATTGTTTTCAAATATGATTCCCTGGGACAAACAAATCAGAACTCTGGATGCCTGGAGTTTTGGTAATTTAGTTATGTTACTGTTCTTTCCCTTGGTATGCTCTCCGTCTAACTTGATGAACAAAGTGGGTGATCTATAGTTTTGATGCCTTGTTACCTGATTAATCTTATGCATTTGTATGTACGCCATATCATCTAATTTGTGTCATTATTTACTGATAAAAAAATGCCTTTATTAGTTTGAAGCTCTAGTAACTTTGGTTTGTTTAGTTTTTATTATATCTGTGCTGAGAGTTTACACATTTTATATATTTTCTGATAAAATATCTAATGTAGAATCTTTGAAGATTAAATATTGATCCCCATGTTTGATGGGATTTCAAACTGTGTATTCTATCATGAGTCATGGTGATTAATATTTGTGCATTATTGTTGAAATGGGAGAGTCATAGATTATATTTTTATGCCCAGTCACAGGTGGGTTGTTTGTAGATTTTGTATAAGATGCACAAATAACATGTTCCACGACTGTTCATAGGATTGCTTTGCTCATTAAACTGTACTGGATAGTGCAAGGTTTTCAATTTGGACACCCTACGCTTGGACAAGGATGTCCGATACTTTCCATCAGACACTTCTTATATATTTGTATTTAACACTATAAGTATATGTATATATTGTTGTATAATTGTTATAAAATACATTTTTTGACGTTGTATGCTACACATAAGTTCATTTTATCTCACATAATAGATTAAAAATATAAAAATATGATATTTTTTTCCCAAGCTCGTGTACCACCATTAAATTTTAGGTTTAATGAGTCCAACTTCTAGATATGCACCCACACCACACCTGGATGTGAGTCCATGTAACAGTAGCTGACGATATATTTTTCTGAAATCCGATATATTGACTGTTACTTTTCCAGACAGTCTTTATTTGAACATCTTGTTGATCCAATATATTTTATTATTTTCCAATATATCATCCGTTATATCCGATATAATGACTGTTATCCCCCTAATACTTTTTTTTTTTTTTTGTCGTCTTTGAAAAAAAAAAAATTGTTTTATGAATATTTTATTCATCCATTTTTCCTATACGTCATTGATATTTTTTGATATCTCAGACAATTTGTTTGCTAATTCTGTTATTGTATATCACGATATTTCGTGATACCTGGGTGAAATTTATAACTATGGCATAGTGAAACTTCAATAGTTTATCTTGGCAGATCTTATATTAGATTTTGATATCAAGGTCTTGTCAATCAATTCATGGACAGGCATTTGTAGTTTGGCACAAATTTTGGGGGTTGTTTAGGATGAACTATATAAGTGCATTTTTTGACTTTTTGGCTAAAAAAATAGAAGAAAAAAATATGTATGTTTGGGATAACTTTTTGACTTTTTACGAAAAAATGTGTATTAAAATATTATATCGACTAACAAAATTACCTTCATACCCTTTTGAGTATTGACATGCTTCCGTGCATGTCAGTGACTGTGCTGTGCTGCACTGTGTGTCAGTGTACCGCATCAGTGCACTGTGCTGCACTGTTTTGAATTTTTTTTTCACCAAAAAGTGCACTGTTGGAAGGGGACTGTACCGAGGGCATTTCTGTCCTTTTACCCTCTGTCTATTCAGACTTTTATTTCCCACCCAAACATGTGAATAGTATTAACTTTTTTGCTTTTTTAGTGACTTTTTGACTTTTTTAGGGGATGCCAAACACCTACTTGATGACTGATCCTAAGACATACGGCTTAACTGTGATTCGTGCTGTAGGTGAAACCCAAGGAACAGAAAAGTAAACATATCCCAATCTTACTTTAACACAACAAATACTAGTCAGTTACAAATAACATATTTGTCAAAAATGTGAAAAAGAGTTTTTCCCCCCCTTTATGTATATATATATATATATATATATGAGTAGATTTTTTATATTTATTGTTTTTTGTATAATGCCTGCTACCTTAAAAGTCGATTTATTTGTACTAATTGTATTTATGGTTGTGAACCTGATTTGCAACAGAGCAGGGGTTGTCTTGGTTTTTGCACTAAGCCTGTGGATGAGCCATCCAAAGGAATGAAGACTCAAGGCCAAATAGTGAGGAAACAAAGCGTTACAGATGATTTTTGGAGTACAAGCACATGTGAGATGGACAATAGTGCACTTCAGTCCCACGGAAGTGTCTCTACATTGAGCACATCAAATCCACCCTTAGATCCCCATAATAGTGTTGGCAGCATGAGTAATCCTACTGAATTCGTAAATCACGGCAAGTTTAAATTAATTTACTTTTCCTGTTGTTTATTACTTGCCACAATGGCTGCTTACATTTCCCATGTACCAATCAAAGTCTTGCTCAACTCATTGTTTCTGACACATCACTGTAAAATCGTTCTCTTTGAGATGTCTTCCAGGCCTCGCAACCTGAAACTAAGATGCCTATCAATCTTTCTTTAGATTAGTGGTTTTATTGGGGCTCTCTGGAGTCTGGACAGAAGCATCACTAGAACCACCTATTCCCCTTTTTTGGTCACATGATTGTTGGTTTGTCGTGTTTCACAATTTGGGACAAATTCCAAGAGCGATTTTGAAAATGCCTTGATGTCCATGCTGCCATGAATTTAATTAGCATGATGTGCTAAGAAGTGGTTTTGGACAACAGTAATGCTGCTATCATTGTTATTTTTAGTTTTACTTTTATAAATTATGTATTTTATTACTATTATTATTTTTAATTTTACTTTTATTTTGTTTCTAATGTGACTAATAAACTTAAGACTCGTTACTTTTGCAGGTCTTCTTCTCTGGAATCAAACGAGGCTGCAGTGGACTGGAAATAAAAGGCCTGAGAACCAACCACAAATTCGGGAACCCAAACTAAGGTGTTTTAAATTTATAATCTTGTGTACATAAATGTGAAGTACAAAGTTGTCATTATGAGGCTTTATATTTCCATAAATATTTTTTGGTTTCTCATCTATGTGCAAGCCAAATTATAGGAGCCAAAAGCTTCATTGTTGTATTACTTGTTCACGATTTAGCAGGCCACTGTCATTTATGATGTTGCAGCTGTTTGGTGGACCTTATGAAGCTGCCTTATGGCGGCTTCATTTAAGAAAAAATATATATATATATATTAAAGTGCAATTTTTTTTCTAACTTATGTGGCAGAAATATGTTAAATAAGCTTTAAAAAAATTTTAAAAATAAAAAAAAAAATATTTAAAAATAAAAACTGATTCTTGAGAAGCAAGGGAAGATGGTGCCTTTAGTTTCTGATTTCTAATTATTAGTTTTTTAGCTTGCTAGAAACTACACCAAACAAGCTTGTTGTCACCTTTTATCAGCTCATTATATCAATCTATCTATATTACATGCATTATTGGCTATCTTTTTGTAGTTGGAATGCAACATATGAGAATTTGCTTGGAACCAACAAACCTTTCCCTCAACCCGTCCCTCTCTCTGTAAGTTTGCTGCTTTTGTTACTGTTATTTTTCGCGCAAGCTACTGTTGACATTCCTGACTGCCTTCGGGTTCAAATTACAGGAAATGGTAGATTTTCTTGTCGATATCTGGGATCAAGAGGGGTTGTATGATTGAGCTGGCAAAAACAAGTATAATTATTTTTTTTCAATAGTAACTTTATATAAGGCAGTGATACTGAAAAATAGATTGCGCGAAGTGCACAAAACATAAACTGTATTGTCCATGTCATTGTTCATAATATCTTTCTCCAACATGACAGATTTTCTGATTCCCAAGTTCAATCTTGATATTGAAAGTGAATATCCGAAGAAAAGCATTTGTCATGGAAGTGATTATTTTTGGGATAAATTTCACTTTACCTTCTCGTACTTTTATCTATGTACGGATTACTCATTTTCATTTGGAAATAGTCACTGAGTCCTCTTGTGATTTGTGAATTGAAGTATACTATTAAACATTCCGTTTAACATAACAGTAAGTGTGAAATACGTGTTAAATATAAGGAGGTTATGCGTTAATTTTCAAATTTTAAGAGAATAAATGGCATATGAAATAAATCTCAACGAATTAAAATTGTGTTTTGCCATCTAAATCAATGACAAAAATATTCATAGTTCATGTACTTAGATTTATATATTTTAATCTTTTTTATTAAATTGTTAATGGATGTAACTTGACACTTTAATTCATAAATTATGAGAGGACTGTATTATAATTTTCTAATAAAGAGGATAATCTGCATATAGGTTAAATCATAAGAGAATAAAGTAAAATTTGTTGTTATCTTTATTTGTGTCCTAGCCTGCTTTAAGAAAAAAAAACAAAAAAACAAAACTATCAGTAAGGTTTTGATTTGTGATTTTCCTGATAAACCAGTCCCAAGTGGGCTTGGTTTCAGTCCACTCAAGGCCTTCCTTGGATTATTCCAATTGGATTCATGTGTATCCTAGTTGTTGACCCCTTTGATTTTATTCTTGTTCGGGTAAATTACACTTATCACTAATCTGGGTTTGGAGAAAATACGATAAGATCTCGTTTGAGAATATATTATTTTAATTATTTTTTAATTTTTTGATTAAAATATAAAGTAAAAAAATTAATATGTTTTGAAGAAATTTTTAACTTTTTACAAAAAAAAAATGTGCAAAAAATATAGAAAAAAAGAAATCTTTGACTTTTTAGTATAGACTGTTGACTTTTAAATTTTTTTAATGATTTTTTGACTTTTAAACTAAAAAATTGAGTTGTCAAATTTTTTATAAATTTGATACAATTATATAATAATTTTTTTAGCGAATTAAAGTAACAGAAACTAATCTAGATAGTTTGAAGATAGAGGGATAAACTTAGATAATATACATCTCAATATAGGAGAGATAAAAATGTCATTTTTTTCTTCTACTATAATTAATGAATTATTGATAAAAAAAGAATTAAGTGCTATGTGAATTAAAAAATTAATGGAGTTAAATGTAATTATGTCAAATTAGTGAAGTTTGATATATGAGTGATTCTACTTACACCACTACTTTACCTCTTTACACTCTTCATATGAGTTTTTTTTTTATTTCCCAATTTTATCCATGTAAAAACACTAAATATATTTTATTATCTCCTTATACCCCTTGGTCTTCAATCCCTACTTTTTTTCTTTCTTGCACATTTCTTTTCAAAAAGTGAGAATCATAGTATTTTGATTATTAAAGAATGTAATGAATGAAGAAACGGTGGTGAAGAATTATCAAAAAGTGAAATTGTGAGTTTTTTTATTTATTTGGTAGATTTTTGTTTCGTTTTTCTAGACTGGTGTTTGACTTTCGTTCGGTGGTTCGAAATAGAACAAAATAAAATAGTCCGACATCACATTACCGAACAAATAATAAAAGTCTGGTAACTAACTACCAAATAAAAGATACATTTTTGGTAACTTCAAATTGAATTTTTTTTTAATTTGTTTGGCTTCTCATTACCATGTATTTTCAGTTTCATTTTTTATATTTTTTATTTTTTTGCTTGGAAGGATTATACTTATATTCATTGCAACAACGCAAGTACCACAATATTAGTGGACTCTAGTCATGAATTCATTATAGAAGAGATTTATTAAGTTTTTTGTTTTTTATGAATAAGATTTATTTATTTATTTTTAATGTGTATTGAGTTATATTAATAATTTGACGTATAAATGTATTTATGATCTTTAGATTTTTAGTAGTTGTGAAGCATTAATTAAATGGGCTTCTGACATTGGGAAGAAGATTAGATTTGTCATTGTTATAAAGAAATCAGATGCGGGAGACAATGGCAGAAAATTAAGACTTACACTTGCTTGTGAAAGAAGTGGTTACTATAGAGACAACAGGAAGATCAACGATTGAGGTTAACAGGTTCTAAAAAATGTGGATGTCTATTTCTATTAAGGGGGGAAAATTAACTATAAATTACCAAGACGACTTGTGATAACATGTTTGATTGATGGATACAAATAATGACAGATTTTATGGATACTTTATGGATATTCGTACACTTGATGTTTTTATGAATACTTTTTATGTATGATTTTATGGATGCGTGTTTGATTTATGAAATTTTTTATGGATGCTTCAAGGAAAAAATAAATCTTTCAATGTACAGCGACAGGGGCCTAGATAACTCTATTGAAGTTTGGCAACATGATACTAGATTAATTCCATTTCTATAACAATGTGTCACTGAACCAGCACTTCACAAGTGGCTCAAATTAATTTCTTGTTATCATTTAATTAAACGGCAACATAATGTTGGGAAAAAAATATTGCCCGGTAACATGGCACTGGAGTAATTTAAATTAATTAGCGTTATATTACCGAACAAGCCCATCACAAATTAAAAAATCATTATTTGGAAGAAAGTGACTCTGTAAATGTATAACAATAAAATGCTGGAGAGATCTATTCTTTTCGACAGCATAACACCGAAATAATATAAATTGTTTAGCACCGTGTTACCAAAATTAGTGGTGTAAAGAGATGAAATAATTAATTTAGGGTTAGTTTTGGTAATATATTAGGGGTGTAATAAGAGTTTCCTTTTTTTATAGTGGTATAATGAGATGGAGGGTGTAAAGAGATTAAATAGTGGTATAAATAGGATCACCCTAATATATATGTATATATTAAAGGGTAAGTTACAATAAGCCCCTCAAACTATGATATATTTACATTTTATCCCATAAATTTCAAAACTCAACGATTAATCACCTCATAGCATTGTTTTGTTGCAGTTTACTCCTATTAGGATTCTATAAGAGATTTACATAAAATTAGATCATATGTAAAGTACAAAACACATTAAAGTTTTAGGACAATAATGTCCTTATCTAGTGATCTCATTTGTACACTTCGCCAATAATATAAGAAAGACAAAATGCAAATAGGATCACTAGATAAGAGTATTTTTGTCCTAAAAAGTTTAATAACAGGTATTATTATTCTAAAAAATCAGTAAGTGTGCTATGTGCTTCACAAGACTTGATTTCGTTTAAATCTTAGAACATAATCCTAACAAAAAGTGTTAATTATAATAAAATAATAGTCTGATGTAGTTAACTGTTGCGTTTTGAAATTTAGAAAAACAAAATACAATTGAGTTATGATTTAAATGATTTACAGTAATTTATCTTATTTTAAATTTAAATTTTAAGGGATATTAGTGTAATTTAATCTTATTGTTTTTTGACAGTCTCATTTGGGAAAGGCTTTTTCAAACCATCTGTTTTATCAATTATTTTTATTTTTATGTTTAGTGAACTTTTTGTGAATTTTTTTTTACATTTTTAATTTTCTAAACTAAAATGTCTTATAAAATATTGAAAAAAAGGTTTTTTTTTCTTATATTTTAAAGTGGAAAAATAAATGTGTGTATATCTGTAATGACACTTGGATGGGTGTGTTTGGTAATTTTTCTGTTTACAAATTTTTGCTTATATTTATAGATTTTTTGAAAGCGGTAAACAAAAATTCGTTTTGTTTTTATTTTTATTTTCAAAAAGTTATAAATAGTTTAGAAAATATTGTTAAAATTTGTAAACATAAAAAAATTGGTTTCATTTTTTTGTTTAATTTTTTTCTCCACTCTCTCCAATTTCCATCCATTGTTCATCATTACCAGCTATCATTGCCAATGATTTTCTCTGTCAACCACATCAACCACAACCTCCTTCAATTGCCAACCACCTGCCATCACTACCAACTACCTTCTATTAGCGATAACCACCTTCAGTCATCATATTTTCTTGCAAATCACCTCAACTACTACTTTAGGCGGCCGATCGGCCACTATCTCTGACCTTCAACAATTACTTTCGGTTATCACTTCTCATGACCAGCAACCACCTCCGACTATTACCTCTCGCAATCGACAATCATCTTTGATTATCATCTCTAGCAATCCATAACTATCTTCCACAGCTCCCTATTTTCACTTATTTTTAAAATACTTATTTATTAAACATGTTTTATATTTTTATTTTTATCTAAAATAAAGTATAAATATATTTAATATTTTTTATAAATTAAAAATAATAAATGATAAACGTTATCAAATGGGAAATGTTGCATATATTGTTAGAAAATTGTTTAAGAGCTCTAAAATAATGAGCTCTAATAGCTCTAAAAATACTGTAGCCTCAATTGATGTGATGTTTTACTTTTTGTTTTGTTTTTTTTTTTTTAAATTTTCAGCACTATCAACTCATTAAAGCTGGCTTAGTGATCCCTTTTTAGTGGTACGTAGCACCACTGATATTGTTAACAACACGCAATGCTTCAACTAACCCCCAATTTGACTAAAAAGCAACGAGTTTCACATTTTCCATGGGGGTGGATTCAATGACTCATATTTGAATATATAATTGCTTTGGCATGTCTGCTGCAACGTTTTTATAAGTTAAAAATTGATAATCATAAAGTAATAATTAAAATTAAAAATATTTATATTTTAATTTTTAAATAATTAATTTTTAAAATTATTTTTAACTAATAAATTATAAATAAAAATTATACTAAACAATTTAATATAAACTCCTAAATAAAAATAAGATATAATTACCCAAAAATTATAACAATCAATCTCTTTATATATCTCAAATAATGCATTCAACTTTTTATAATGCAAAAACTTTTGTGGTTCCTCTCTCTTTCTCTCTGCCTAACACAGAAGATGGTTGTGGTGGGCCAAAATGATGGAACCCTGATTTGATATTAGGAGGCAGCTCCATGATTTCCACGTGTTCAAAATTTACTTCACCTTCTGGTCACTCCATATCATTGTGTATATAAAATATAATAAAATTATATTCACAACATTTAGTTATATCATATTCTACTTATTTTGTTATATATCACCAATCTATTCAATCAATACAATGATGAGATATGAGATATTTTTTATTTTTTTT